CAAACAGTAATCAAGATCAAAAGTCCATAAAACAATACAAAATAGGAGCAGAGCAAACACGGACCTCCAAAACATCAGAGGTAGGATCAGGTGCCATTGAGGATTAAGCATCCCCTGCCGACCGGTCACACCCGCCGTGTGCTCCTTGTCATGATCGGGAACTAACGGAGAAATCCGCCGTCAATATATATAGTGTATAGATAACGGACGGACAATTAGTATGAATAAATCTGTCAGCATTTGAACTCAATGATAAATTGTATTTGCTGACATGGTTATTGTATCGACCAAAGAACTTACGAAATGATGACTATAAACGAGACTGTTGATATTCTTGTTTCATCAACTTATTCGCAATACTTTACCTCGTTTTAAAAATGTTCATACGTAGAGCATGCTCTTGTGTATCGAATCAACTGAGATATATAAACGCCGTATTCAAGTGATGAAGGTATATTACTGCATAAGTAAGGGAAGTTGACGATAGAAAAGTTAAAGTCATCACGTTTATCATAGAGCTTGGTTGTTAGATTACAAATAACGTCTTTTCAAGTAAAATATCCAAGTACTAAACAGAACTTAAAGCTTTAACATCATGATTGATCTTCCTTTTGCATAAAATGTTCTTGTAACCAGATTCCCTATGAATTAGATTTTCACAGAACGTTCTTAAGACCGAGAACCATTCCAGTGAAAATGTCTTCCACACGTAATTTAATATGTTTGACTGTTGTTGTTGTTTTTTTTTAACTAAAATCTTCCTTCCTTTTTTTTAGCTAAAAGAATTTTCATGTTTACAAGTAAACTTTGTACTGTTGTAAAAGAATGAAATTATAAAGAAATTCACCGTGTATATGTATGTGTTTATATGCTTTGCTTATGTATATAGTTTGCTTTGTATACTTGTGAAAGTCAATAATAAAAAAAAATCTTTCACTACAAATATGAACCTAATAATTTAGATTAAGTTTCAATCAGAATGTTTTCTACATTAGTCTAAAAATTCTTTGAATTTGAGAAGTTCTTTTCAGCAAAATAGGGGATAATGAAAGACGTTATACCGTTGTAAACTTTTTAAAATACTATAATTATGCATGTCTAACAGCATCCATTATTTGTAACCTAAAGGTTTAAAAGACGAAGTTCTCAATTTCGTTGCCGAGGAAAAACTCATGCAAACATAAAAAAAAACATTTGAGGTCATCAAATATAACAAAAAATTCTTATTTTAAACATAACACCGATCTACGAATTAAAGCTATTGCGACAGGAAACATTGCTATAAGGGTTCTCCTTTCCAGACTTAGTTCAGAGTGTACCTAATCAGTTGATCAGGGCTATTTTTCGTGCAAAAAGAGGAACAACTACGTAATGTAAAGTAAATTAGTATCAATAATGAGTATGAAACATAAAAAAAATACATAAATCATCAAAACTTTGAATTGTGCCCTTGTTAAGTAGTAGAACACATATTTCAGCAAGTTTAAATGTGCTTTTAATTAGTTCACAAAAAAGTTTTTAAAATGCAAAAGGTCTTGAAAACATATATTTAGCATTCTTTGTCTGTTGTAACACTTGTTTATTTCATATATTTATATGTATACAGATATACATAGTAAGCTTTGATACTCGGGTTTAAAATACAATTCATAAAAAGAATTAAATTGTACAAGCATATTGTATATTCACATATATACGAATAATTCGTTCAAATAATCCTTTAAAAATTACCACCTCTAGATGTGATAAGTTAAAAAACTATTTGTTATTAAGTTTAAATTGTGAAAAAACTTAGAAAAATAACATATATGTATTATAAATTCAGCACTATTGTACAAGTAATTGAAAATGTTAAGGAAAACTCTTCAAATTAATTCTTGATTTAAGGTATTGATCCTATTAAAGTGGGAACAGTTTAAGAAGCTAATAGTGGTGGAGAGGTCTCATGAATGGATCCCACGCGCAACATAACCTGCTCAATATGCAGGTCTTAGTACAAAATTATCATATCCTACATGGGATTCTACGTTTTGTGTAGAGGAATCAAGTTGAGCAACAATATCATTTTCAATTTGCATTACCTCTACTATTAAATACAGAAATGTCTTCCCCCACATCACACGTCATTTTAGATTTTGGCATTTCTTTAAATCAAAAACCTCTTCCACTATAAATATGAATCTAATAATTTAGATTAAGTTTCAATCAGAATTGTTTTCCCGGCCACATTGGTGTAAAAACAATGCTATGCACTAGAGAAGTTCTCTTCGGCTAATTAAGAGATAATGAAAGCTGATAATACCGTGTCCTTGTTTTGTGTTTCCTAAAATACTTTTTCGATGTACCATCTAGAAGCATCCCATATTTGTAACCTAAAAAGGTTTTTATCCGAAGTTAATTTCTCAAATCCCTTTCCCTGAATAACTTATTCAAACTTAAATATTTACATTTCATATGTTTTTTGCATATAACGTGAATTGAAATGCTTTGATACTAAGTCAATAAATCAAGTAATAAAATATAGAATTTGAGCTAAAAATACAATTCGTAAAAAATTAAATTGTACGAGCATATTTCATATTCACCGATACACGAATTATTCATTCATTGACAAATAATCCTAAAAGAAAAAGTACTTAATTGTAGATGTATAAGTGAAATAAAAATTATTAATAGGTTTAAATTGTGAAAGAAACAATAAAAGTATAACATATCATAATTATATGTATAAATTCTGCACTATTGTATTTGATTGTGTTAGGGGAAAGGTCTTCATATTAATTCATGATATAAGGTTTCAGTCCATTTAACAGGGCAAGAAGCTAATATACATTCACCAGCGGTGGAGAGGTCTTATGAATTGATCCCATACAAACCATAACCTGCTGCAATACGTAGATCTTAGAACAAAATCATTATATCTTTGTAATCATACATGAGATTCTGTGTTTTGTGAAGTAGAATCTAGTTGAGCGACAATATCATTTTCATTTGCATTACCCCTACCATTAGATACAGGTTTATTGTCAAGAGAGTAATTTCCTGAGTCTACAGTGTCTGGTTTAGCAGAACTTTTCACTTCATTGTCATTTTGAGGTTGTTTTTGGGATTGTCTGGATTTCTTATCATTGTCAGATTTACTGGAGGAATCATCAGATTTGGAGGAGTCCGAGTCACTGCTTTGATGTGTATCTTTATTCTTTTCTTTCACAGAATCAACAGAAACCCCTGTAGTCCCCACGTCTAACAGAGGAGAGGAGGACATTTTTACGATACGTTTGGGGGATGGAATCGGGGAAGTTTTGGCTTTTGGGTCCTCCTTTTTGGCTGAGGGTGCTGATGGAGTTGTCTTCCGTAGTTTGAAGCCCTTTCTTATGTCATTTAGTAAACGATCAATGATACATCCATCCTCGTCGGGTTCTGGTACTGTTGGTCCATCTGAAAATATTTCTTTTTGTTAAAAACAAAACCAAACAAGAAGAAGATACAGAGCTGTCTACAGATATGCATTTTGACCTACGTTTAGCTCGTTTGCTGGCCATTTCTTGTTGCTGCTTTTTCCTGCGCTCTGCCTTTTCTTCCTGCTGTTTTCTTTGAAGATTCTCCTGTTTGAAAATTCAAAAACATATGAGTGGTGGGGTTTTTATCAAAGTGTAATTTGAAGTGAAAAAAGTCCTTTCACTTGTAATTTTTACCTTTTGGCACTGTTTAACACGCTCACAGAACGTATTTAGGTTGTTTATGCATTCCTCTAATTTAAACGATTTTTCGTTTTCACAGAAGTAGCTGACCAGCTGTTTGGTCAGTTCGGTGATTTCCTGTAATTTCTTGTCTAGGGATGCCATTTCTTCCTCGGCGTCCTAAAAATACCAGGGTAATGGTTATTTTCTGTGTAATCAATCTATATTTTTCTACAATGTTTTTAAAGACAGGGAAAAATACGATTTGACCATTAGTTTCAGTTTTATTTCTGCAAAACAAACATGTACATATACATTAAGCTATCATTAATTGAAATATTAAGTTTGAATTGCTGTTGTATCCGATGGCAGCTAGGTAAACCAAGCTGCATCATCCCTAGGTCGCATAACTTACCTGAATGAAAGTTTTGAGTTGGTTTTTGACGTCTTCGGGACAAGTCTCTAAATCTTTGTGAAGTTTTTTGACGTTGGTCTTCAACTGTTTCACTTCAGCTGTTAAAGCATCTACTGTCAACCTTTACAAAAATGGCGGACAGTTGCTTTCATTAAATTCGCGAAAGACACATATAATATTAAAATATGCCTTTAAGTTGAAAATTTGGCAAAGCAAAATGTTAAATAATAAAAATATTAGAACATAGTTAATTGATTCTAAGGCTTCTTAATATTATGAATGCAAAAAGAACAAAATAACAAGAGATATTAAACGTGATTATTAGCTAAGTACCCAGAACTTGTATTTTCATTTCCCTCTATTTTCCTCTTAAAGGTCAAATATAATATTTATGTGAAAATTCATAATTATTCATTATTATCAGCCTCTAGAATAATATTAACTGTGGTTCTATGAGAAAACCAGGCAGAATTGTAAAATATCAATTTTTGAGGTATTTTTAAATGTCATTACTCCATTAAATATTGATAAGGTACACATCACTGATAAAAAATCATGAGGTGAGAAAATTGATAGCTTGTTCTATTTATAGTAACAGGGCCGTCATTAAAACCAGGAAAATAAAGCATAAGAAAGGGCAAATAAAGGGTAAATTTCATTCAATTTCAATGCAGCATTAGAGCCATAAGCAATCATTTACACATAAACTACTAATTTAATATAAAAATTCAAGATTATAATTTATGTTTGATAAAAAAAAAGATTTCTTGTCAAACATGCAATGTTGCCATAGCAACCCGTCAAAAATGTCTCTTTTGACAGAAATATCGTTTCGGATGTAAAGGTACCATAAAAATCTTCATATTAAACAGGGTTAGGACGCTTATTATTTTTAAATTCAAAATTAATTAAAAAGTTAAGTATGTTTGAATTCTCTATGCTATTGGAATTGTTTGGGTTTTGAGAAAATCTGTCGTTTTTGAGTAGTTAATCAGTGTTAAATTATCAGAGAAATTTGGGTGAAAATTAACATAAACACAATAAACAAAAGACAAATGTTGCTTATTAACTGATTGTTATTTTTCATTAATGTTGACCTATAAATAAAAATAATTGTTCAAAATAAAATCAAACAATTAACAGGTTTAATTAATTAAAAATGCCTTTCATGAGACATAAACTTGAAGTTTCAGCATAGTTATCTCCCTTTACGGTTCTCTCTAGGGAATGAGACACATAAGGTACATGCATGAATATGGCAGCTTCCAGGCATGGTGAAAGATTTGACTTTTCAAGGTCATGCACTTCTGTTGCATGTGGAGGACTTACAGAAAGTATATATTCATGTCGAAAAAAAATATTGTCACACTTGGTGCATTGTCAAGCTGTCCCTAAACAACATCAAGTGACAATACCCGAGGGCGTTCTCTTGCTTTACCAAAGTTACAAAAGAGTATGTAAATTTCAAAATATGTCAAACGAGTCACAGAAATAGTCTTTGTACTTATTGGTACAAGACTCTAGGCGATGTTCACACCCGTTGCACCCACCAGACCAGAAGGAGAAACCAGACAGAGGAGTTAATTGCCCCGTTTCCAAAGAGATATGGCTACAAGAGAGGATACTTGTACCCGTTGGTAAGTGATATATAATGAACACTACAATGACATTATCTTATACATGGATACAATTTTGATTGGTCCTCAGATGATTTTTAAGAATTTCTGGTGTAATATATGAGAGAATATTGATTCGATGTAGATTTACATATAATTTAATTACATTCCATATATATTTTGCTAAATAAAGTGGAGAGCTATGACATTCAAATTGACAAAGCTGCATACAAATAAAATTGATAGGAGAGTCTAAAGGATATCAATATGATTTTTATTATGAATCATATCACATCTAGGTGTAGTACACCATCGACTCGAGTAAGTTACTAGACTACAATGTGTACGTTAAAACATAAATATAATTCATAAGTGTCTTCAAAGCTCATGTGTACATATTGGATCTCAAAGAATCCTATCCACATGCACAATGATTTTCTTTTTAATGTAGGGGTTATATTTTTTATTTAAAGAAAAATAAGTAACCTCAGGTGCCTGTGATCCCATTCAATTAGAATGGATATCTGTTGAAAAGCAAGAAAAATCTAAGTTGCTCTCATTAAATTGCAGGTTTATGAAGGAATCATTCTGAAAGGCACAGAAAAACTTACTCCACTAAAGTGGACATTGAGGTTGATCATTGATGATAGGTTCAAGGTTGGTACATTGTATACATGTGATAATATTGCATAACCCACAAACAACACCTATTATATGAATGTTCAGGACACTAATAAAAACTCAAAGCCCCTTCCCCCCTCCATCCAATCTGAGGATTTTTTTATTAATAAGGAAATGCATGTTGTCTGCAATATTTTAAAAAATTAAGGCTTATCATTTCTCCGAGACAGAGACATATAAAACCATATTTTATATGTCTCTGTCCGAGATTAACATCTTTTAGTTTAAGATTGAAAATTTATAAAGCAATGAATAAATGATCTTGCTATATGTTTACTGCACAAGTACAACAGAAAGCACTAATAAATTTTGAAGTTGGTCTTCAATGTGCTAAATTACACAACAACAAATCTACAGATGTACCTACCAAAAAAAAAAATCAGAGTACATAAACAGTTTTGTAAATGATTACTTCATTTATATCAAGGAATCTGTGGAAAGTTTTTAAAAGGGGCGTCATGTAATCTTATAGGCAGTTAAACTACAACCCAATTAACACATCCCATATACTTTCTTTGTCCAAAAACAAAAAAAAATGGAGAAATAAAACAGCCAATCAAACTCTATTTTAAACTATACATATGAATTAGTTCCTCTTGTAAAAGTGAGGTTGAAATCCTGTAGATTTTTATAAGTTGATCTGTGTTTCACTGTATTGCTCTGAAGCCAGAATAGTGAGAATACTATTCCTAGTGATCAAATTATTTAGAAATAAAATCCCACTCGTGTATAAAAAGAGAAAATAAATTAAAATATAAATACAATACATAACATGATAAATATTCATTAAAGTATAAGAAGCTAGAGTAAGGGCTATAATTTTGAAAATAGATGACTTTTGTCTGCATTACTGACTATCACATTGTCATGTAAATGATGTAAATCATATTTTTTGTTATTTCAGCTGAATTTTTTAAGCTTGATACTGAGGATATTGAAGAGAAAATAGAATGTGACAATGAACAGTGTCCAGATTTTCTCAACATATCTCAGGGGTGGAAGGTACATATCTAGTTTATTTATTTGTACAAATTTGGTTTACTATAAGGTAAACTATTGCTATCCGTATTCATCCATTGCTCTGCACCATATGTTGGTCATGTACTTTTGAATATTTTAAGCTCAATTTCTCTATGTAATGACTAAATTAAAATTCAAACTAATAAAATATCTGTTGGTAAATTAATTAGGATGGAAAAAGAAGTTAATGACAATTTGTTTTTCATATCTGACATTAGATATTTTCATCCTTTTGTAGAAGCACAAATTTTAGAAGGGAATAAATTTCATTGATTTGTCACCTAAAAAAAGTTTCCAGGCATTAAATTTTGTTGTTTCCAAAGTAAAACTCAGTAGCACTGGTACCTGTAACAACAAAATAAATGAAAATGAATATCCAATGATTATTTCTGCATTTACAGTTTATTGAAAATTCAAGACATTTTTGAAAATCCCTATGAAGTTCCAATTAAAAATAAAAACCTTTATTTCACCAAAACCCATAATGAGATTGAGAGCATATATTTTTATTAGAGTTTATTACTACTGAGCATTGACACACAGACTTCTTTTTTATGCACCCAGATCGGTAGATCTGAGGTGTATATTGTTTTTGTCCTGTCTGTTTGTCTGTTTATCTGTCTGTCTGTTGTCAACTTTAACCTTCACCATAACTTTTGAACCATGGGAGATAGAGACTTCATATTTGGCATGCTTACTTAATTAAGTTCTTTCAAATGACACCAAGGTCAATGACCTTGTGACCTTGACTGTGACATCTGCAAAAACATTTTTTTTTAATTTTCTTGTTTCTGTGTTAAATGGTTAAAGGAATAAGTCAATGAAATTTGACAGCTATAGCTAACCTGGCTTTTTTGAAAATCAAGGTTTAAGTAGTTTATTGATTAAAAATTTTCTCTTCCCGTAAACAACTAATGGGGGTAACTTTTGGAATTTCCTGTCCAAAAACCACTCTAACGATTTTGTCCAAAATGTGCATACACACAGTAGATATAGTCATGTACTAAATATACAAAATAGCAAAAATTAAACGACAGGAATATTTTGGGGTAGGTGTGTTGTACATCCTTAAGAACCACAGTGTGTTAGGTAAGATGAAACTTATAGGGAAGCATCCTGGCCAGTGGGGTAGTGTAGATTCATATCTGTTCAAATCATGACCCCCAGGGCTGGGGCGGGGCCACGATTGATAATCAAAGTTTATACTTGTATGGGAAAAAAATATTGAACTGATTTCTGCTTTTTTCCTAGCCATAGTGCCTCGGTGAACGATATGGCCCATGAGCATCTTATGTTTAATATTCCATGGAAGAATTGTCTTTGAAGTGTGATTATAGTCAGAATTATGTCGTCTTCAACATTTACAATATCTCTTATCAAAACTTATCTTTTTCAGAGCAATCCAGTCAGAATACAGAGTTTTGTCTGAGTCAGTCATCCTAAGGAACCGTATGTGACTACTGGAGACGACCCACATACTATCGAGAAAAGCTAAACAGGAGTATGAAACTGTCTGATGGTAAATTCACGTCCTTACGCTTCACCCTGAATACATCATTAGATGAGGTACAGCAGTCTATAAAAGACTATGTGACACAGAAAGCCAATGAAGTTATTCAGTGTGCCTTTGAATGCATTGCACCTTGCAAGAAAATGCTTTTAATTAATGCACTTGTTATATAGAAAATATTACATGCTGGAGGAAAAAAGATAGAAACTGATGCATTTACAGAAGCCTTAATAAAAGCATACGATCAGGATCATCAGGCTGATGGACATCAGAGTCAAGTACAGATTCTCTCAT